GTGACAATGAAGTATGTCTTGAATAGTGATCTGCCTCCAATAACAATCAAAAGTGACGAGAATGTCTTGTCTAACATGGTTTTGAAGGATATAAATCGTGACCCTACCAAATATCCAATTCAAATCGAGGTCACAACTGCAGATATCGAAAAACAGCCTATTGCGCGATCAGTTGATGTTCAATCGAACGAACATGGGTTTTCATTAACAAATATGTCATCAGATATATGTAAATCAATAATGGATCCATCTAGTGACAAGCTTGAGTATAAGGTCACAGTTGTGGCGGTAGCAGATGCTAAGGAGGTAGAGGAAGGAAGAGTTTTCCGTAACAAGGAGATAATGAAATTGAGCTCATTGTTTTATGCAATCCAAAACATGTTTGAGTACGTGGTTGTTTGGTCCGATAAGAAAAACTATCTCGTGAAATGTTCACGTGATGAGTGTAATTGGACATGTAGAGCATCGAAGTTAGCCAAAATAGATATGTTTAAAATAAGACACATTACAGAAGGTCATATATGTGCTTCAAAAATCATACTCAGTACTTATAGGCAAGTAACAAAGACAGTTGTGTCAATCTGCATTAAGTACAAGTACACATCATCGCGCACCATATACACACCGAATGATATACGCAACGACATGCTGCATACATATGGAGTATCTTTGAATTATGTCCAAGCTTGGCGATCTCGAGAGGAAACTCTGAAAGTGCTATGGGGCGATCCAACTGATTTATTCAATAAGATACCAGCCTTTTTTTCGTGCTACAACAAACAAATCCTGGATCAGTCACAAGTCTAGAAATTGATGGTCACAATAGTTTAAATATTGCTTCATGGCACTAGGTGCATCTATACGGGGATGGAAACATTGTAGGCCAGTTGTTGTGATTGATGGCACATATCTAAATGGAGACTATGGTAGCACCTTATTCACGACATGTACACAAGATGCAAATAACGGCATTTATGTACTTGCTTTCGGGATTGGGGATAATGAGAATGACAACTCCTGGACATGATTTTTTAGACAGATGAGGAAAGCATATGGGGACAGAGACGATTTGTGCTTTATGTCGGATCGTCACAACAGCATCAAAAAGGCGATTAAAAACGCGTATCCGGGAACATGTCACGAGATATGTTCGTACCATCTACTACAAAATCTAAAATCACGGTACGAGAGATCAGGACAAAACATAACACAAGCATTCAATACAACTGTTCGTGCCTACACACTGTTGGAATATGAATATTACATACAACAACTCGGCTCGATTAATGATAAGATAAGGGATTATCTGGTACTATACTATACGTTGTCCTATGATGATATTCACATAAATACGTTTAACATGATACCATGGTTTTGTTTGTAGGACGAAGTTGGACCTGAGAGATGGTCACTTTTTCACATGCCTTCAAACCGGTATTCCACAATGACATCGAATATTGTGGAGTCGGTTAATGCGATCACAAATTCTGCCAAGAACTATTCTATTATAGCTTTATTGGAGTCATTGAGACAAATTATGCAATCTTGGTTCTACAGACACAAGGAGGACGCTCAAGGCACTTTTACAACTTTGTCAAGCAAGTATGAGAAGAAGATGAAGGAAATGAGCACAGATATGAGAAACTTGAGGGTAAAGTTAAATATTGTGATCTAATCTATAATCTATGACGTACCTGAACTGATCTGTGACATGTGCTGTGACTTCTGCTGTGATCTGTACCGTTGTGTTTCAGTAATATTTGTGTAATATTATATATAACTACGTGACATGCAATTTCATCTGTGTCCTACTTTTTCATTATGTGACTTATTATGTCTTTAACTTGAATCTATATCTATAGGTTTCCCCTATTATTCAGGTAATATTCTCAGTTAGCGGTGAAAGTTCATCTTTCATTTTTGATATAGAAAACCGGACATGCACATGTAGGATACTTTAAGTTGATCAATTACCTTGTCCACATGCTTTGGCTGTATTTGCGAGTATGAAGATGGATCCATATGAACACTGTTCCTACTACTACACAAGTGAAGCATTCAGAAGTACATACCAAGAAACCATTTTTCCTGTAGGAAATCCAGCTGAATGGATAGTGCCAAATGATGTCCATGACATAGTTGTAATTGTACCTAATCAAAAGCGAAGTTGTGGAAGGCTTACTGAGAAGAGATTCAGACCAGTGTATGAGGAAAACATAACCGTCAAATGCGTTCGATGTGGTAAAAATGGTCACAATCGTAGAACATGCAGTAACTTAGTTCCATTAAGTCAAAGCAACAAGAATAAAGAGAGGAAGATGACGAAGACTGGAAATACACATTGATATATTTTTTATAATTCCCTCGTTTTTTCATTCATTGATTTTTTGTAAATGTAGGATGCACAACATTGAATGACACATATTGACCATATCATAACCAATACAATGCTAAGATTTTTTGTAATTTCCTTTTGGATGTTCAGCAACAATGTGTGACCACTAGCACGTATGAGAAACTCAACGAATGTGTCACATATGAAAATCTGTAGGAAAAATTGTTATACAATCGTCATGCAGTGAACTGTGATCAATATGGAATTAGCTGTGACCAATATGAAATTATCTGTGATCATTCTTCAATAACCTGTGATTAGTATGTAGTAACTGTGGTCATTATTAATGACATGTGACCAGAATACAGTGACTTGAATGCAGTGACCTGTGACCCTTGTGCAATCAACTGTGAATATATGACATAATCTGTGACTAGACATCAATGAAATGTGATCAATATGCAGTGACCTGTGACCATTTATCAAGACATGTGACCAGGATGAAGTGACATATGATCAATATCCAATGACATGTGACAAACATGCGCTAAACTATGACCAACAAAAGATGACCAGTGACCAATTGCAAAGACTCAGGAAAATGGGAGTGGTTCAGTTGCAATTAGCTATGACAAAAGTATGAAATGATCTGTGACCAATCTTCAATGACCTCTGACCAGATTGGATTGACTTGTGATAATTCTTCATGACCTGTGAACACAACAGAGTTACCTGTGACCAACATACAATGACCTGTGACCATGATACATTGACCTGTGACCAACTTACAATAACCAGTGACCTGTGAAGTGCAGATAATCCTAAAAACTGGTGACCTGTGATAATCTTAAAAACTGTAGATAACCAGTGACTTGTGAATTGCAGGATACAGTGACCTGTGACAATGAGAATTGATCTGTGACCAAATTACAATAACCAGTGACCTGTGAACTGCGGATAATCCTAAAAATTGGAGTGGGTCAATTTCAGTGTCGGTCAATCGATAAACATGTCTATCACCTGTGCTAATAACACGACACAATGACAAAAATTTGTGCATTAAATTTTGAGACTTTGTCCTCGATACATCGTCAATCTTGCAAAAATATGATATATAGTGAAACTTCTGAAAAACAATGTAATAAAGTCTCCAAACACTAATGAACTTTCTGATATAAACAGAAAAAAGTAAGAACTGCGTTGTCATTACAAACGAATTTTCAAACACGAGACAATGTTTCTATCTATTAAAACTTGTGACTGTTAATTGCACTATCACTCTAAAACAATGCTTTTCCCACCAGTTGGCTGTACCGTCTTTCTAGCCTTCCCGATTTTGCGATATTTGAACAACAATGAAGCTATATCCAACCGAGCTCTCCCCACATCAAACTTCATGGGCATAGATCCTATATCGTCATGCAGCATGTACTCCGCATACTTGACCACGTATATGTCACAATCATGTCTAGGAACGCAAATATCAGACTGTTAGCTATGAAATCCAGCATGTTATAATATGTTTAACTGTAAGTGGAGGTAAAAAAAACTTACCCATTTTTCTGTTGGGGAAGAGAGAAATCAAGATCCACATTCAACTCCATGTAATCTTTTTTCCATATTCCAACACATTTCATGAGATGTGGAAGCATGCTGACAAAAGGTTCAATTCCAATACGGACTTTGATATCATTGTATGTCTTCCTGGAAGAATTCAATAAACACAACATATGTGCCTTCATGTCCAACACTCCAAGCATCCAATGTGCTTTGTTGGTAGGCAGAAGTGGGATAAACACAAGGTCGACTTCAACCCATAGAGTGCTCAATGGAATTCGTGCACCGGTAGTATCGTCAATCAGTCTATCATCTGTCACAAGAACATTTGCATCATCCTTGAACTTAGGATACATGTGCTTGAGTTTGACCTAGAACAACGAGTCCGTTGTGTAGCTACAAACTTGAGATCTCTCACACTTCTTGCCACGTGACGTATGTAGTAGAAGCACACGTCCATATGCTACAAGTACAATAAACAATTAAGAAACCATATATACACCAAAAAACATGATGCAATAAGCTGTTAATGTGATGTGTGACTCGGTTAGAATGTGTGACCAATACAACCTGTAGATAGTGATCATTCAATAATTGATCCGTGACGTAATAAATACATGTGAGCTATACTATTGCACCTTCAGATATGTGTTTTTCCGTGCAACGCGGATTGTGACCTACTGCTCGTGTGATCTGTGACCCATGCTCTATGTTACTAGTATACAATGACCTGTAATGTGACCTGTACTATGACATGCCCTTTAGAACTGTTACTTTTGTGTAGTAACTTACCGAACTAGTCCATGACACCTTCCTGGATACAAGTTCGCACCACCATATCTTGTTTCCCACCAAGTACTGATCGATAGAAAAAGGTGGACGGATGACATCATCTTTATCATTGAACTTCTTCCTGCAAATGAGAAGTACGGATCATTATTTGGAAAATTATGAAAATAGGACAGCAATTTCGTACTTGTTATGCGGTTTGTATCCTCTTTGAAACCAATTTTGAAAGTTAGCAACATCTGCATCTTATACATTCTGATTGTAATGTTCGAAGACCACTACCTTTCCTGACGATTTCATTTGTTTCGCTTTGTCGACAACATAAGGAGACTGTAGTGCTTTAGTTGGCTTTGGAGCCCTCTTTACCGGCAATCCAGAACTTGGTGCACCTCAGTGAGTGCTGCATAATAATAATTTTTTTTAAATATGTGACATACATTAATCAACAAATACATAGATTTCCTCTTGCTCAATACATTCCGTGTCCTTCAAAACATTGGATATGACTGAGTCCACTTGCACTTCAAGTTCCTTAGATGTTTTTGCAACAAGCTAGCTTGGTTGTGTAAATCTAAGAGCGAGATCAAAAGATGGAGGTTCAATAGAACATGAAAATTCAACTGCACACGCAGAGTCAACCTTCGCTTTGCTTTTCGAATCAACACTTTTTTCGACTTTTGCAGCCTGAAAATCAGAACAAAAATGCATTTGATAAGAAGTGTATATCAAACGGTTTGTGGTAACAGATAAATAAGAGGCAGTCAAAGTTGGGGTACTGACTTTGCTTGTTGGTCCAGATCCTCCAACAGTTTCTGGTCCTGAGTTCTCTCTGAATTTGTTCATAATTTTTTTCATTGAACTAGATATCAATGGAGTCATAGAATCAGACATACACTGCATGTGTGATTTGATGTCCAACATGTCGGTACGGATTTCACCTTACATGCGAACAAGCAGCTTCAGTTTCTTTTGCTGATCAGACTTCAAAGATGACACCAGTGCCTGCATTGCCTAAAGCTGTTTGCTTAGCAACCGATTCTCAGGCTGAAGATCAGATATCTGTCCTTTGAAATAATTCATCAATTCGTCGACCACCTGCATCACATGAATACCTATAATCAGGTAACTTATGATGATGAAATATAACATTGATCTGTGACCAGCAGTGAAACGTGTATTGATATGTGACCTAATAACTGAAACCTGTGACCTGAGAATTTTTATGTGACCTGAATTTTTATGTGACCAAATGGACTTGTGACATGATAGATGAAATTGGAAGAGCTTACATCTTTTGATGGCATATCCTCTATGATGCAGGACGAATTAAAAAATAGAAAGAAGAAGCAAGAAAGAGGGGAGAACCGGAGAGAATGGGGGGAGAAACAGAAGAAGAAGCAGAACTTCATGGGGGAGAGGAAGGAGAAGCCATAGGCAACAAACCACCAAAATATTCTTCAATTTATCAAAACTAATGAAATTACATCGCAATTAGGTTTAAATAATAAAAACTAAAACTCTAAGTAGAATGGACTTGGGCCAACACAAGTCCAATTACATAAATAAAATCTAAAATATAAATAAAGTCCAACTAAAAATAAATAAAAAATAGATGTCATCATCAACTCTCTCGGGGTGGGAGAAAAACTCGACCCTGTCGAGTTGATAGATAGTATAGGCTGCAATCAATCTGATACTCCAAATGCGTCAAGTCAAGCCACGGGGGACGATCTTTCTGACGAACCATGTAACAAAATTCCATGATTGATAGTGCTGAAAACTGTAGCTTATTCCCAAGAATATGATCTGACCAAAGGGGGCGATCTTTCCTTCTAACTAAGTACTGATACTGGACTCCAATGACCAATACTCATGCACCTTATCTTCAAGATTTTCACATGATTGTATATAATGAGGAGCATAAGAAGCACGTCGATCTACCCAACAAACAAGGAAGTACTGAATCTTTTCATCATTGGTTAATACAACACGTTCATCTAAAATAACATCAATTTTATCTTTGTGTGCTGTGATAGATGGTATTAAAGTAGAAATATCAACATAGTCAAGTTGGGGGTCCATAAAGCTAAGTAGAAATAGATCATCAAAGGAAGTAACACGATGTTTGTAAGTAATGAAGTCCTTAATATTTAAAGCAAAGTGGTAGTCAAAATGTGATGAAAGGCCAATGACATGTGCATGTGAACCAACATGCTTTAAAATTTTTAAATGACCATCACTACATACTTGCAATATAACATAATCTCCAACGTTAAATTCAAAATATCGTTTATGCGAATCAGCTTGAAGTTTATATATTACATTACTTGCGTCATGTTGTTTATTGATCTCAATATGCAAGTCATGAAGATGACGTACAAATGCCTCAGCTGACATAGACATACTATTATATGGGGACATTGGAATAAGGTCTAAAGGTTTCCTAGACTTATAACTATGAATAACGTCGATGGAACTTGTACCGATAAATGGATGCACAAAATTGTTATATGCAATTTGAATTGTTGGAAGGATCATCCCAATTCTCAAGATTTTCCTTGAAAAGGACATAATTACACAAGCCATCCATATCTTTGGGTTGGAAAAGAGAATGACACACAACATTTAACTGAGAGATATCAGGAGCAAGGGGTACAACCTCTA